AGGTTGTCACCAGGGGCTAGCATGAACGTGGAATGAGGCATCAAGGTTCTTTTTTGGACAAAAATTGCTGTAGCAAAAGCAGTTTTTTAAAGCAATTAAGGAATTTTACATTAATGTGCATATTGGTGAACAGTCAGCAGCAGCACAGTCAGTAGGTTTCAAATGCACAAGAGGGACTTGGCCCTGTTGGAATGAGTCCAGAGGGTGCTGCAGAGATGGACAGAGGGATGGAGCACCTTTGCTATGAGGAAAGGCTGAGAGAGCTGGGAGTGTTCAGCTTGAAAAACCAGAAGGTTCCAGGGTGACCTAATTGCAGCCTTCCAATACCTGAAGGGAATCTGCGGGGAGGATGGAAAGGGACTTTAGACAAGGGAGTGATGGACAAGAGGGAATGGCTTCCCACTGACAGAGATTATGTTTAGATGGGATATTAGGAAGAAATTCTGCCCTGTGAGGGTGGTGAAGCCCTGGCACAGGTTGCCCAGAGAAGCTGTGGCTGTCCCATCCCTGGAAATGTTCAAGGCCAGGCTGGAGAGGGCTTAGAGCAGCCTGGTCTAGTGAAAGGTGTCCCTGCCCATGCCTGGTTTGGAACCAGAGGGTCTTTAAGGTCTCTCCCAACCCAGGCTGTAAATAAATTGTCGGCGTCATGGGCCATTCTGTGATACAATGAATTTCTAGAATGTGCCCTCTGAGGGGCAGCACTGAAGAGCAGGTTTCTGTGAACAGCTACTTCTAGTCATAGTATGGATTAGGTGTAAGGAAGGGATTAAAAGTTGTCTGAAATAATTGGTTTTCAAAGGTAACTCATATGTTTGAGAATATTAATGCCAATCTGTCAATAACCCTGCAGCATCTCTATGCAGATGTGAATAAAGTGTGTAAATTTGCACCTGTTGATTTCTGACAATAGTGAAGCTTTTCCAGTAACATTTCTAACTTCAACTTTCATCTTGTTTTCCATGCAGAGTTTCACAAGGGTCTTTGGCAGCATCATATCTCAAAGGTTTCAGTTTTCTTTCAGCAGAATTAGCTTTTCACAGTTTCTACCTGGAATTTGCTGCGGAAGTGATGGAGTTTTTCACCACTGAGGTTTTCAAATAATTCACAGTGTAGTTATTTGCAGATGATCTTAAGGCAGATGTAAAAATTGCTGAGTTGCTGGGTTCAGCTCCTTTAAATCCACATTACCTTGATTAAGCCAATCTTTAATTTCTTGGCAATGATATCCTTTATTAAACCTGTGTGATCCTATGTAAGTGAATTCAGCTACTGCATATCAATTTGCCATTAATTATAAATTTGCTTATTTATAAGCAAATTTTGTAAGTCAGTGCACAATGTATTTTGCTGCTGGTATTAATGATTTAATTTAATCTGATGGGGGTCAGCCTTTCAGAGAATAGAATTTTGGTGAAAGTACATTATTTTACCTGTGTTAAAACACTACCTAGGCAAGGACGCTGGAGGTAATACCCAAGAACACTAAGGAAATGCTCTGTTGGTTGCTCCAGTTGTCAGGATATGGGATGTTGGATTGTTTTTAGGCAATATATATATATATATATATATATATATATATATTTTAGTTGATTTCTTCTTGGAACATCTTCCATATGCTAGAATATTTAAAGTGTATTTTTAAATAGTGACTGGCAATCTGCAAAACACCATTTTAGCTTCAATGAGATCATATGCTACTAAAATACTACTTATACTAGGACACTGAGATGAATTGAAAGTAGCACAGCTAAAAAGTGAAGGCAACAGGTGTTTTATTAGATTGCAGATATTGGCTTTTTTAATATCTGTAAAATAACTGCTACTTCATCCTAAAACTTTTTGAAAATTTGCATGTTTCCACTGCTGAATATCAGTAAGTCCCATAGTTCCTAATGTAGTATATATTCCTTTCAGGTGTTTTTTGACTAATAAAATGTGATATCCTCCTCTAGCACATCACCAGTTTCATAATGTGATGCAGGACTGAAAGACTTTTGATTGGATACCAGGAACCTGATTACTAAGAGTATTCTGAAAAAGGAACAGGGCAGGCTGTTCTCCTACACACACACACACACACACAGAGAAACCAAACCAAACCAAACCAAACCAAAAAAAAAAAAAAAACAAAAAAACAAAAAACCAAAAAAAACCCACAAAAAACCCCACAACACCCTGGAGTACTCAGCATTCTGTAATTTTCACAGAGATGACTGTAAGGTGTATGTGCAGTCTGTCAGGAAGAAGTATTTTTTTGTGTTGCTAGAAATTAGAGATTAATTTGTTTTGGTGCAATTATTTTAATAATCTCTTTAGTAGTAAGAATTGTGAGACTTATCTCTGCGCAAATGCCTTGGACTATTAATTTGAACAAATTGAAGCATCCTAGACTTCAATTTCCCCATTGTTTAAAATTAAGATCTTCCCTAGTTTACTCTTACAAAGTAATTTAAAGAACTTTTTAAAATATGCTGTTTGAGTCTATATTGTTGAGAGTTTTAGCACAATTATCCCAAGAATAGATAGCTGATAAAGCAATTACAGTCAAATCATTCATCCTGATGCTTTGATCTTCTGTATGCAGAATGCTATAACAGTCTCACATTTTAAAAACATGCCACCTCCCATAAAGTAGTGATTTCAGGTGACTAATAATTGTGTATAGCACAGAGTTGATATTTAAATGCAAATTGGGTCCTTTTGGTTTGTGCAGTTTTGGATCTTAGCCCACAATTCAGAGGCAGCACACTTCACAGAAGTGTGTAACTGTGTCCAGTTCTGGGCTCCTCAGGACAAGAAAGACATGGAGCTTCTGGAGATGGTCCAGCAGAGGCCACAAAGATGATGAGGGTTCTGGAGCATCTCTTAGGAGGAGAGACTGTGGAAGCTGCGCCTGTTTAGGCTGGAGAAGACGAGATGAGATGAGATGAGATGAGATGAGATGAGATGAGATGAGATGAGATGAGATGAGATGAGATGAGATGAGATCTCAATAACCCATACAATATTTCCAGGGAGGGTGACAAGAAGATGATGCCAGGCTCTTGTCAGTGGTGCCCAGTGACAGGACAAGGAGCAATGGCCATAAACTGCACAAGAAGTTTCACCCAAACATGAGGAAGAACATTTTCCATGGAGTGAGGCAGAGCACTGGAACAGGCAGCCCAGGAGTCTTGTGAAGTATCCGTCTCTGGAGATATTCCAAACCCACCTGGACACATTCCTGTGTCACCTGCTCCAGGTGACCCTGCCTTGGCAGGAGGGGTTGGACAGGGTGATCTCCAGAGGTCCCTTCCAACCCTAAAAGCTCTGTGCTTCCATGAGTCTGTGAATAATACAGATTTAACTAGAAACAGTGAAATTCAAAAAAACATGGACACAGTGGCTGCAACACATAAAATGATGATCTACTTAATTTGCAAGTGCACATGGTATTTAAAGTGAGTGCAACTGAAGTGTCAGTCTGGAAATGTGGAGTGTCAGAGCCATCTGGGAAAAAGCACCCTGCCCTATTCAGACATCATTTATGTCCAAGACCCTTGCTGTCATGGCTGCTGGAAACTTTGCCTGTCTTAAGATTTCATGTAGGGAGCCTTTCTTAGGCTTTTATGTAATGGCATGTAACAAAAGTATCAACACCATCTGAGTACCATTTGTCCATACAAAGCAATATCTTATGATTTGGGGAAAACCCTGGCTCCATGAAAACTGATGCAGAATATTTTTGTGACTCCACTGGAGCCAGGATTTTCTGTATCTACCAATACTTTCACAGTAATTGGATGTGGAGCTGGACATCAATACCAATTGCTGATAATATTGAGCTGTAGAATGTTATTTGCTATAATGGTTGTAACCAGAGGCAAATCTGTCTTCTGCCCCTTCCAAAGGAGACATTTAGGGAGGAACCCTCAATCTTTTCAGAAACACATCAAGGGAAGAGAAAATGGTCAGTGTAGTCATAGGTGCAGTCCAGCTTTCTACCAGCTGTTTGGGCCAGAGCTCTGAAATCCCACTGCAGTTAAAGACAGCCTCAAGAGATACCTAAGTAATGGTGTAGCTGTCCAATGCCTTCCCAAGTCATTCCTGGGGTGAAGGTAGTGTGGGTCAGATATTTTTGCAGTTCACTAATTTTGAAGTATAAGAAAGGTCTTTTGAGGCCATAAGGGTAACTGGCAGCTTCCAGAGTTTTGCCCTGGTGAGATCAGTCCTGGTCTAGGGTCAGAAGGCGAGAGAGTGAGGAAGGATGAAAATTTTACTTTAACCCTTCATGTCTTTATTTGTCCAGCAATCTCTCTATATATCAGCTGAGCCAGGGGAATCTAGGAATGTGTCTATACAGATCTGGGTTAGAGAAGCTCTTTTCATTAGGAATTTAAAGATGAAATATACCTTCACATACATTTTGAAGGAGACCCCCTTTTCAAGCACAAAACAATAGATATTCTGTAAAATCATTCTGTAATTGTTCTCCATTTTTCTCCACTTGTTCCAATGACAGTGATAGCACTCAGTCAAAGTCATGTAGGTAGTACATGTGCATGACAGGGATTAAACTTTTATTTTCTGACAACAGAAAATAAAACTTTAAACTGAAGAAAATAATCTCTTGTAATACTTCAAGATTTATCTATTAAATTGCTTGCCAGTAGTTTGAAAAAAAAAGCTATCTGAAATCACACTGGGAAATCCTCTGAGTTCAGTCAAATCTCTGAGTCAGCTTCATTTATCACTGCCATCACTGGCTGCTCTATAAATACATCTGCTTTTACAGCCTACACATTCTGAGATTTGCCTGTTATCTCCTCAGAAGAGAAGGGCTAGTGGCTTCTCTTCAACAAGCCTGGCTCAGTCAAAGCCAAAACAAATGTGAGCCCAAGAGGCCGAGTGCATCAGTTGTTGTTAGCTTTGATAGTCCCTGCTATCATTTGAGAGTGTGCTTGCAGCCAGTCCAAGTTGGCAGAGTCAGCCCAAGCTGATTGGAGCTGCAGACATTTTTGCTGACTGGAGTCATGCTATCTTTGCCAGTTTGCTGGAATAGACACAGACACTGATTGGGTCATGCTGAAAACATTCCTGTCCTATGAAGCAAGTCTGTTTGTATTTCAGGTTTGCCAGGACTAATGAATTAAAAATCTTGGGCTCACCACAGTTTGCTGTTTAATAATGCCTGTAACAGAAGGATTTTTTCCTCCCTGAAGTGTGACAGCATCATAATCTCTCATCCCTGGCAAGGAGAGGAAGGAAAATCAGAATTGTGGAAAAGGGTTATCTTTTGGGACAGCAAAGCCTATGGGAAGTGCAGGTAGCAGCATGTTGCCCTGACAGCTGTCTCAGCTTCTCAGACCTTGTCAGTTTGTTGCTATGCAGCAGGTGCAGCCTTTTCTTTTATTGAAGCTTTACTCCATAAAGGCAACGACGAGCCAAGGCAGTGGCTGGCCCTGGATTATACAAGTGCAGACACTCCGCTAAGTGAGGTAAGGCAACAGGTGTGCAAAAATCCATAGAGATCTAACCTAGAGCATTTAATCTGAGTTCTGCTGCAGGTTTTTTACAGAGGAACAGCAGCCAGCCAGCTCTATAGGCAATTGTTGAGAAGATGAGAGCTGCTCATTAAATCTGATTAAGTCCAGGTTGCCTACTCACTCTCATCTCTGTCCACAGAGACATTGTTCTTCATTCATGGGGAAAGGATGTGGGGAATTAGGGGCAGTTGATCTGCATGTGTCATAGTATCACCTTGTTTGCACACAGACTTTTTCCATCCCTTTCTGTTCTCTGTGATTGCTTTTTGTGATGGAGAGAAAGAGAAAAATCCTTTTTTGAGGACTTTACAAAAAAAAGGAGAGAAGGGATAAATGCAATTTTAAAAAATGATAACAGGGTAAATGCTGTGTATCAGGATAAGATATCTTCTGAATTAGAATAAAATGGAAATTTTCTTTTGTGTTTCAATAGAATTCATCATTTCTTACTGAAAAGGTATTGATTTTTTCCCTCACAGAGTAGATGGTTAAAAGGGTTAATTTAAGAATATTGCAGACCACAGAGTATGTGATTGGGATAAAAAACAGTCTGGTAGCAATGTTGTTGTGGCAACTTTAAAAACTCTAGCAGAAGGCATCCTTTTAATTTCTTAGGCTATGATGTGAAATGTGAAGTATACTCTTATGTGGAAGACCACTTGAGATAGTCAGTGTCAGAGAAAGTGTACTAACAGCACAGAACAATGAAGAGCCTTCTTTTAAGGATTTGCTTATCACTTAAAATCTCTTCACTTGGAGAGGATATTTTCTTTACCTTGTATTGGGAAGTAAGGAAGGGAAATATGTTTACGAATTTTGCATTGGTAATTCTGTTGTATTTAAAAAAACAATGAGATGTCTCAGATGTTTCTTATGAAGTGAGGGGAAAAGATCAAGAATGCTCAGAAGGTAAAAATTATTTACTCTGATGCAATGCACTTCAAAATAAAATATTTCACTTGACTCCAAGGGTCTTTTCCTGAATCTAAAACATACATGGGTGCAATTTATTTGGCTTTTCTTTGCCTCTGCTTCACAGATAATAGATCCATTTTTGTGGGTCTTGAATACTAGTAATGGGAAATTAAGAGCAATCCCTGATATCCTTCATATACTAGCAAAAATAGACACTTTCAGCTTCAAATAAAATTTATTCAAAGTAAGGATTTTAGATTATTTGTTGTTATCATTGTAAATTATTTGTAAGAAAAGATTATACACTTCAAGTCACAAGTAACTGTATCACTCTGGTAGCTAAACATAGAGAGAGACAAAGCAAATAAACAAGAAATGCTGAAATTAATGGACCCAATGCAAATTTGATCCTCTTCTACTGATTGCATGGCATTGATGCCAGAGAAGTCTTTGATTCACTTGTACACCACCAAGGAAGATTATACTCCTGAAACAGTGTTCTGTTCTATTGACTTTTTGAGACTGCCAAATAATTCAGTATGAATTGGAATGACTTGGTAGCATTTTCATGCAGTACAATAGCTACTTTACTGTAAAACTGCAAGACTATTGGCTTGGGAAACTGGCTCTTGTTTTCACCAGCTAAATGCTCTGTTGTCTGCTGACAATGAGTTAGTAAATTCATTGTATTTTCCTGATGAATTTGGTTTCTAATTCCCTAAGAAGTTTTTATGGTAATTTGAAAGCATAATTGTCCACCCATTTGGTATGAATACAATGTGTGCTGGATAGCAGTCCAGAGTCCTAAAATAATTTCTTTATGGGCAGATCTTTTGCATGCACAAAGTCCCACTAACTTCACATTCTCAACACATGGTGCTAATCAGAAGATTAATATCTTTGAATTTCAGCAGCTTTGTGTAGATAATCAAGGGGATTGTTTGCATTCAGCTATTCAATAGAGTTTAACCAAAACTGTTCATTCAAAAGTGAATGTTCATTCAATAGTAGAGCTCAGAGTATAACTTCTGAGGGCACAGACATGTTTTAATTATACTGTTAGTAGCTAATTCTTTTATTGCCCAACAGTTCTTTAGTGCCATATTTGAAATGAACTAGCAGTTTTCTTAATGGACAGGGTTTCATCACACAGGGTAAAATCACTTTTTGGAATCGATGGTCTCAGAAGAAAGACAGAGGACTGAGTAAGGTCCCAACCCAGGAGCCAAATCCATGCAGACAGACCCCTACACCTGCACAGACTTCCACTGAAGAATCACCACCAAGGTTTGGAGACCCCCACGTATTTTTGGCCATGAAGTGTGTGACTTGCAGGAACACTTGGGCTGGGGGAGTTTGGGTGGAAGGTAGAAGGATGAGTGCCTCCTCATTGACACCATGTGGAGTGGTGTGCACAGTTCCAATCACAGGGCAGCCCTGGGGTCATGTTACTCTCAACTCCCCACCCCTTCTTCCTTCTTCACCTTCAGAACCAGGCAGTATTGCCACGAGTCAAGGCTTGCTGAAGGGGCAATGGCGGGGAGCAAGCAGGTGAGAAGAGAGGCAGCTTCCTTTGCCATCGTTCTTTCTAATCTATAAATAGCAAAAATAAAAGCAGTCTCTGCACTGAATTTCACTTAAATTATTTTTAAATGGAAAAGAGAAATGGCGCTCCCTTGACTTTGATTCTAAACATCTAGCTAGGATGGGAAAGTGCATGAAAAGCATTAAAACTCTGTTGAATGATGTCACATGCTCTGTAATAAATATATTTTTTGTATTATTGCAGCTGGAGCAAACAAGTAAAAGCATTGACTCAAGTGCCCACATGATCACCACGGCCAGGGTACCTGCTGATAAGCCGGTACGAATTGCCTTCAGCCTTAATGATTCCCCAGGTACCGTTCAATTTATGGAGTAAAACACAATGCTTTTAAATTTAAACCACAACTGCTTTAAATTTTACATTAACTTACCAATGTTTACAATATCCAATGTAGTCCAGTGTAATGGATGGATTTTTTTTCATGAGTGGTATCTTGTGGTCAGATTTCCTGTCTGATAACTTTTAATGTTTCCATTAACAATTTCATTAGACTAAATCCACTAGATTGACAGTTTTAATCTTTACTTTCTTCCAGTGGTTTGTGGAATGCAATTAGAATGGTAATTAACTACCAAATTTACCTGCATGTGTAGTACGTCTGATTGTGTGGAATTGCAAAACAGGAAAAGTAAAAGGATAAATTTGTCTAGAGGAGGAAGAGGCTTTTTCTAGGGGGAAGGTTGGAAAGTGCCACACATGCCCAGCTTGGTGAAAGGTTTCAGGAAACAGGTGCCCCACATGGCACGTTCTCTCAGACAGCAGCAGAATTTCATTGATGTTTATCCTATCAGCTCATGCTGAGGGAGTATTAATTTCCCCAAACATACCCTGTACACACATGGACCCTTTGGTGTAGATAAATATTATCAGTTTGCACCTTCAATATTATTAAGGACCAGAGAGCTGTTGCCAAACACTGAAAGTCAAAATTAAATAAATCAAAGGGGAAGTTTAAAAGCATCCAAAAAAAGTTGGCTGCTGCTTTTGCTAAAGGTGAGTGCCTGGAGCCAGGGCTGAGATGTGTTTATGGCATGTGGTGTAAGGACAACTGAAACCTATGCTGCTGAGAGCTTTATGGGACTCTTTGCATTGTAGAATAGTATGATGGTTGGTGCCTGAGGTTTGTGTGAACAGAATCTCAGCTTGAATGCAATTTTCTATTTTAAAAATATTTTAGAAGATGCGTTATCTTTCCTAGCAAATTGTTGTGTACTACTAATTTTCAGCTACAATACTGAAATACAATCTCATCCCCTAAGCAAGGGAATTAAAAACCAAACATCTTCATATATTATTGACCCTAACTTTCAATTCATAAGGATGAGTGACAAAGAAAGATTAGGACAAGGAATATAAAGAAACATGTGATAATCTATGTGCCTTTTTCATAAATTAAAATAACCTGGTAATTACATTTTTTATTACAGAGACCAGTAAGGAATCATTCAAATCTCTCAAGATACAGTCACATGATAAATTTCCTGCAGGAATTATGGCATAGATAGGTCTTGAAGAGAGATGTAAAAGAAAGGGGAACACTCTTACAAATGATGAAAAAAGAATGCTAATGTGAGACACAGAAAACAAGTCAGGGAAAGCTGAGACCATGGGAAAATCAAAGAGAGCAGAGTAGTTTGTGACAAGAGACGGCAGTAGGAAATGACAAGGTTGTGAATAGCTTGCAAGAGGGGAACATGAAAGGCAGGAAGCCTGACTTCCTTAACATTGCATCATATTTTATTTTCTACCTTTTTATCCTGCTAATAATTCCAACCTCTTTCTTAACCTTTACAAAAATAAACTCAGGGAAAGGTAATCTTTTTCTTCTACATATTGTTAAATTGTTCCAAATGTTAAAATTGTTAAAATGTTGAATCCTTTATTGTATTATCCAAATGTTCCTACAGTATGCTGTCCAGAATCTTCATGAGTACTGATAAAAAAAAAAAAAACAAAACAGCAACCAGTAGAGTGAGTACCATGCTCCCCTCTGCATCACATCTGTTTGGGGGCTACCAGGAGGTCTAAACCAACATTATTGTTTTACCTTACCATAAGAATTTCACCTGCTTTTATGTTAGGTATATTTCAAGAAGACAAAGGAAATAAGCTTTTAATAGGTGTGAAAATTTCCAGCAAAGTATAATTGAATCAAGAGAGTACAAACAAGTATTTAACATATTTTAAGATGAGCCACAAAACATTCAGAAGATAGACTTTTAGGTATTCTGTAGTAGGTGCTTTTTCCCCCTTAGTCTTTTATATTTTTTCACCTTTTTTCTCCTTGATGAGGATATTTGTTTTCAGTCCAAACAGGAGTGACCTGATGTGTGATAGTAAAGCATCCGCTGAAGCTCATCCACTGCTAGGATACAATAAGTTCTTGGCAAGGGCTGAGTGGTGAGGAAATCTCTCTGACTTAAGCTTTTCCTTAAATTCTACCTCACTTGAAAGGCACAGTGACACATTTTGCCAAGAAAGGCTGCATTCTCCTTCCGGGGGCTGTGCAACTGCTTACTAGGAGGAACTGACAGCATAACTGGATATAAAAAGAGGAAATGGAATGTTTCTTCTGGGTGGTGATTATCTCACTGGCTAGGATTGTAACCAAGCAGTGGGTGTGAGGAGCACTGAAAGGAAAAACTACTCTCAGCTTATGAAAAGAAATTACTTTGTGTTAACTGACCTACAAAACCAGAGCTGTCCTGAGTGTACAAGAAATAATGTGTCTTACATTATTTGTCAGCACCTGATGACTGAAATTCTGGCCAGCTTTGTGAGGTATTTTTAATGTGATAGTAGAGTAATCAGTTCCTTAAAAGTCTCAGGAGCAGCCCATCAGAGGGTGCTATATAAGACATTTTTATTGTGTATCTCTTATTCCTGTATATATAAATGTCTACGTTTGGCCCTTTCACTCAAGTTCACTAACACATTTCCCAGGGTGTGTCTGTGCATTCTGTCACAGCAATTTGACTTAAGGTACCATTTTAGAGTAATGAATTGGAAACAAACTATTTCAACCTACCTTATATCACTTGGAAACTAATGCAGCTTGAACTGAATGTGGTGTTCCAAGATTCAAATAAATGTTCCAAAGTTGACAATTAATTGTGGTTTGTCAGCATCAGTTTAATGTTACCCATGAAATTGAGTACGTCCTAATTTTAATCAATCTTACAAATACATGAACTTAATGGGATTTTGATAGCTGGATTTGTTTTGTGTAATAGTTCAAAGGGAAGATTCAAAGGGATAGGTTCATCTCTCTTTACCTTGCCTTCTCAAATAAAAGCTTGAATCTAGCTGGAAAGTTCTGCTCATGACATGTTATGATAAATGACTGGGTCTGAAATTGTTAGTGAGTTCTTTAATTTGAAGTTAGTCTACCTCTGACAGCACTTTACTGAAAAATCACTGACAACAAAGGCAAAACATACATCTTCTAATGAACCTGACAGAGAGTGGAACAGCGTCACATTTTTGCAAGCATAGCAAAATTACTTATTTTACTCTTCTTTATGCTCATTATCCTAGTGACTACAAAGAATTTTTTGCTTTTGTAGTTTATCATGCTAAACCGTTTTGCAGTGGTGGCTTCTTCAAAAGCAACCTTCAAATTCCTACCCCCCCCCTCATATTGGTTGTGATGGCTCCAGGGGTTTTCCAGCACACTGATTGACAGCCAGTGAGGATTGCTAAAATATATGGCTAAAATGTGCAGAGCTAATTTCATAAATCTACACCTAACCTACAGGGCTTGATTCTTGGGGGATTAGATGGGAAATCAGGTGAGACAGCCTCAAAGGGACATTCATCTGAGGATGCTTAGGTTTGAATGAAGGTATATGAAGCAGAAGGATTTTGCTCTTACCTCTTCTGTTATGGACTGTTTCTATTTTTGTAGGTCCACAACTCTCATTATTGAGCAAGCCTTCACATCCTATTCCTGGGTGGGGCAGTGGCCGTTCCCCACTATTTTACCAGTGAGGTAACTGCGAGGTTGTGCGAGGTCGTGGCAGGCAGGGCTGGGAATAGAAGCCCTGGAGCTGCACAGAGCAGTGCCAAGTTGCAGTCACTTAGCCACACAGCCTTCCAGGATGAATCTGATGAGTCTGTGCTTGTCTGCCAGTGCCCAGGCCCAGAGCTGCTGCATCTCACAGCCCTCCCAGGGCCGAGGCTGGACCCTGACAGGCGCTTTGCCACTGTTGTTGGTGCAAGTTGTGGTGCTTGCAGTTCAGTTTGGGCACTTTTCCTGTGCAAGGGCTGATCCACTTACAGGATAGCAGCCTACTTATGTTACCAATTTAATTCTTTAATTTAGGAGGAAGAGATCTGAATATATTGGCCCACACATGTAGGAGAAAAAAAAAATAGGACCTGACTGTATAATTAAATACTGGATCATAACTCAGTTACTCAAGGAAGCAGAGCTGTGATTGGCATTTCCTAAGTTTCAAGTGCTTGATTTAGCAACCTTAATGTGCTTTCAACACATTTAAATTTTTTATAATCTATTTCTGTCTATCTTAGTGAAGATCATAGAGAAACTAATTTTCAAGATTATACTGCAAGTGAATCAGATGTTATTCTTAAAGGATTTACTGCCTTTAGCTCACAGTTCAGTGAAATGGAACAGCCATATAGGAAAAGATTTGGGTACTACACTTCATTGTGCCAGACCCAAATCTTTTCTCAGCAACATGTGAAGGATTTCTCTCATTTGACTACATGATGGAGGTCTGGGATATTGGAATCTCCAGGAGCCCAGAACATGACTAAATAAGTGAAGCTTTCCAGAATCAAGCTTCATTCTCAAATGTGCAACTTTAGTGTATATCAGCTGCCTCAGGGCTAGTAGTGAGTTTTTTGTACAAAGCCAATCTCAGAGTTAATAGAGTTCAGATACTCTTTGTAACAAATGGCAGCTTTCAGCAGCAAGCCAAGTGAGCATGTGAAGCTGATAAAATAAACATGAAAATCACACTATTTCAAGCACACAAACTGAGTCTTTGGCTAAAACCACACAGGTTTTAATCAGGGTATCTGTCTTTAGGGCATTTTTAAATATAGAACTTCAAAATTAGATGTGGGATCTTTGGGAAATCAGGAAATGCTACTCATTTAGAAATCATGTGACAGATACATTAACTTAGGTGCCTGTAATGAAATCCGTGATCTGATTCTTTCACATCACAGGATAGTGCTGCTGACTTTGCTGGTATGGCCATAATATGCACATGTACATTTTTCCTTCTTTCTTATTTCCTTTTGACCAAAATCTTGACTCATTTTCAGGTGCAGTGAGTTACTATCTCTCCTTTTTAAATATATTTTTATTTTAAACGAAATAAGTTTTCAACATCCAGCTTGAATTACAAATATTTTTTCCTTATGTGTTTCTTTATAGTGACTATAGGGATAAGATGTTCATAACTGGTGAAGAATCAGCCTAGATATTTTCAGGGATTTGTGGTACAGAAAAGCCACTAACTCTATTATAAAAGAGGTCTTTGATTATATAAGTGATTCCTTATAATAGTCTAGATATTCATTAAAAATTGATAGTTAATTGAGAAAAGGGAGAAAAAAGGTATTTCAGAGTTCAGTTTTCTAGTTAAGGAGTGGTAGAGTAGAAAAGAACAAACAGATCAGGAGATAGTTTTGAGAATGTTTTGATCTTCAGAATAATTTCATTGGCATTTCAGACATTTTTGTATCTGATTTTCAGAGTCAATAGATTTTTAAGACTAGAAGTCAATGTGATTTTGACTGGTATTCTGCTGGTAAGGGCAATAGCAATTCTCCTGAAAAAAATGCAAGAGTTTCTGTGTCTCCTCTTGACACCCTGAAAACATCCTCAAAAAAGTTTTAGGAAGTGAATGTCTGCTTTCATTTGCTTTCCCCTTGTGTGAAATTTAAGTTTTAATTATTACCAAGTGATTTTTATTGTTATTGTTGTGGTTGTTATTTTGACAACAGCGAAATACTGATCTGGGGCAATAATTTATTTCGCTGAAAGCTGTGGGGAAAGCCTTTTGTTCTTCTTTTTGTGAAAAACAAGACTGTAGTTAGCTATGAGGATTTCTGTTAATTTTTGTAAACTAAATACTTCAGCTGAAATTCTCAGAAGAGCCAAAGAGAATTAGGAACTCAGGATAATTTCAAAACACTGAAGTCTGCAGCATTTCTCGATGATGTTCTGCATATCAGATGATGATCTAAACAAGTCTTAAACTAGTATAACTAAAAAAAACCCTAGCAGCTGTTCAATAGATGCTAGGGCAAGCCCATTATAAAATGTACTATGGTATGTCATAATGGTTAGGATACCAGTGCATTCTATTTTTAGTACCATTGACTCAGTCACTTGAGTTCAAAAAATAAGCAGGGAACATCTGTTTATTGAAAGGATTTCCTCTACATTAATTTCTCTCTCTATTCCATCCTTTATAATGTACTTCCAAACTTTTTAACTGGTTCCTTTCAGAGTATTATTTTCCAATATTCTGAGACAGCATTAATTTTATTTTCTTATTAATAGCTGATCCTATGAAAATGTAATTACTCTCTGATGTTTCTTCAAATTTTTTTTAATCATATGGAGTGTTGCTTTTGCTGTGTTTTTCTGAATTTTAAAGATGTTCAAGATCCCTCAGTAAAGCTCCTGTAGCAAAGATTGTACTGCTGGAATTGCCAAAACAAATAGCAGTTTAAGTGCCATCCATGACTCTGGTCCAATATCTCTGTCAGAATATTTAACAGCTATTCAGCCAAATACCTGCAGAGCAGCTGTAGCCCTAGTCACACCGAGTCTTATTCCGTCCTTCCTTTTAGCCTTGCCATATGATTCATCTTTCTCCTTTTAGAATATTAGTCTATTTATATATTGTACAAGAAAGCAATAGCAAATTAAAGATAAACACTTGCACATTAGCATGATACAATTCTGTACAATTAAAGCAATTTAAGTATTTTCCAGAATGGGCATGCTTGACATATGGTGTGAAGAAAGAAGGGAGACACTCACATGACATGGGTATGACTTTTTGATAATGCAGCAAGAAAACTACTCCACGAAAATACAGGAACTTCACTTAATTTCCTGAGGAAATTGAAGAGTTTTTACTTTTGTATCAGTACTTTTTTTCTCCTCTTCCCAGAGGCTACCCAGCTCTAGCTATATTACTGAGTAAGGCTCTGACCATGTGCTAGCCAGTATGTTTATTTTATATAGGCTAAGGTGACTTATTTTACTTTTCCCCCCAACCTCCTTTGCTGTATAACCACAGAGGCCAGGAGAAAGAGATATCAAATATTTGAGAAATAATTTAGATCCTGGTCTGTATTCTTTTAGAATCCTTCTTTGATACGAGGTCCCCTTGATCTTGTTGGGGTTTTGTTGCTGTGTTCAAGCCTACAAGTACACAGCACGTTGCAGGATCTGACCTGTGACAGCAATTTTCTCCTGGAAGAGAAGGAAAAATCCTTGCTTAATTTTGACACATTACAAATAAGTGACTGTAAGCTAATAGTAACACTCTCCTCACCTCCCATAACCTGTAGTAAGATGAATAAACAGTCATCACAGTCCAATGCAAAACTGAGAGTGTGAAAGTCACTGAGAAAGAAATACTGCACTGGTGCTACCAAGTGCGATTCATATTTCTGATCTCAGGCCAGCTACTAGTGGGCAGGTGTCCACATCACAACCCTGACATAACTGGTGCAATCTGTCCCACCTTTGCTGGAAGCCTGTTCTAAAAATAAACAAAAAAAATCCCAAACAAATAAATAAAAACACAGCTTGGTTTGTTGTCATGATGGAACTAACTCTAGCCCATAAGGTTTATAATTGACAGGTAAAGTCCTTTAAGACAGTCCTTTACTCAGCAGTGTAGTGGAGAGAGCTCAGGAAAAAAACAGTTTAGATTTATTTGTTTTATTAAATTACTGTATGTTCTACTGGACCAACTGCTTTGTTTCTTAATCACTGCAGTGCAAAATAGACTTTCTGTATTTCCAGAACATAAACTTTTCTTATTACCAATCTACTAGTATTTTCAAGGATTCTACTGAGGCATCTCAAGTGAAAAAGATAAGATGTGGGGGTGTTTTCAGGATCCCAATATTACTGTCCATATATGTAAAATAGAATTGTAATAAACAGATTACTTGAAATGCCCTCTTTGGCAGACAAAAACTTTTAACATTGTGTTTACCTTTTAGATGATGCTTCCCCTGAAAACTTCTCTTTGGCATTTCCAGAACTAGATCAGCAGCTGCAGGTAAACTTTTCTTCTCTTATGACAGTTCTACTTCACATTTACTATATAAAAGACTCTGGTTGTTACATTATAGTGGAAGGTTTTCTTGGTACTTTTCTAGCCGGTTAACATTTAATAAGACTGTATATATCCATAGAAGAAAACCTTGTTTTTTCAAGACCTACAGAAAATTTTTAGTCCAACCACAGGGAAATTACTCTTTTAAAAATCTTGCCTGCTTTTAAGATTTTCCATCCAATTCCTGCAGTGCTGCTGCACTGCAATGAAGAGAGTTCTTGTTCAACTGATGGGAGGAGGAATGAGAGGGGCATTATACACTCTGATGCCTGCAGGCTGTGCTATGACTGATATCATCAGTTTTCTCAGATGCATTCCAAGAGACTCCTTTGGTGACCAGTCTGATTTGTCAGCACAGAATGATGGGCCTCCAGTATTCTGGATAGTGAGCAATTGATGGCAACTCCATGGTTCTCTAGGCACAAAGCCAGTTCTGCATCCAGGGATTATTTCCCTTTCCTCTGTGCTGGTTCTGGAGTGTTTGCTGGCTTTGGTAGATTACTTCAGATCATCTGTTTTCCCAAGAGCATTCAGACTTCCTCTGATATTTCACTCTGAAGGCAGTTGTTTCCTGACTGTAAATTGAGAAGGGCATTAGTAGACCACTCATTGTGCAATAATGTCATCTTTCCTGTGCCCATCAACTGGTGAGGCAGCACAGGGTGGCTGCTGGCTTCAAGGGCGACGCTTCTGTCCCGCTGCTCTCACCAAAAGGATGACTGAGAAAGGAATGGAGGATGACAGAGACTCTTCTTGCTCTATCCCTCTCATCCTGAGGATATGGGCAGGTTCTTTAGGCATAAATAGGAATTAAGGAACCAGGTAGTATGCTAACCTCTTTGTTCCACTAACCTTCCAGGGCAGCAAACAGGATCGGTATTTTTTTTCCTTAGAAGAATTCCATTTGAGAAAAGCAATCATGTTTCATGGCTGGAGCACTGAATTGAAAGTAAAGAATCTGCATTTTGTTTCCAACTCTCTCAGTGACACATTGCTTAATCGGGGAGTTGCTTCATCTCTCTGTTCATCTCTGAAATTAAGTTAATAATTTTTACCTTTTTTGTTGAAGAGCATTAAGACCAGTAAGTAAGGATTGCTCTAAAAGAGCAACGTATGATTATTATTGCTGCTATTGATACATAAAAACAATATTACTAGCATTACGTATAACTACTTTGCAGGACAAGTGATGATTTTTTTATTAAGACTTTTATGAGTTTTACATTTCTAGAATCTATAATATTCTCTAAATATGGGATTTCATGATAGGCTGAAAATGCTCCTGTGGAAGCATTCAAGTGTTCTGGATATATAATAGCCCTTCAGTAAAAGTTTTTAACAATCCCTCTAAGCGTACCCAATTGGTCTCTTAAGTACTTGGCATTTGTTTCAGAAAACCTTCCTTTACTCTCATAATCTCAATATGATAACAAATTAAAAGAAATAATCAAAAGCTTTGGTTAATATAATTTTATTTTTATTATCCTTCATAATCTCTCTTGGTAATATCAGGGTAGCTGGAAGGATAACTTATGAGAACTACCTGTCTGACTCAACCACTTAAAAGTATAAAATTTGTGGTAGCACTTAATCCTTTTGTTTTCAAGCTTATGTGCATGTTTATATTGCAATGCCTTTATGTTCACCCAAGGGCAGTGAAGTTAATGCAAGGCTCTGAGCCAATGCAGAGATAACATTGCATTCCAATTTAGCAATAAAAACTTGAATTTCCTTGCTTTTGTCAATCTGGATTACAGTTTCATGTGATAACTATTTAATGTGATTACAGTATTTTTAATCTTTAAAATTTGAAACAATCAATACCTGTTACAAAGTTATTATTTACCTTATTACATTTCTTATTAATTCAATCAATGTGGTTTTTTCAATCGCTGCAATCCAAACTGCTGCAGGTTTGCCAGAACTCTATGGCATGTGCTTGCAATTCATGCCAGCTTTGAAACAGGTAGCTCCTGTATTACAGAAACAGGTAAAATGGGCTTCACCAGGACCTGCAGAAATAGTGAATGGTGGTGTCGCTTGTCATTCCATCCATGCTTTTTTCTGTCCTAAAGTGCATTAATACAGAGCACACACATGAAGGGTTGTGTAAATGAACCTTTTAATCAACTGTGGCAATAGCAGCCTGAAATGCTTGAATCTGTAAGAATGCTGGTACATGTGTTCATAATAAAAATATCATATCTGAGAGCCACAAGATTTTCATCAGTGTGCCATAAATACAGTCAAAAACATTTGAATTTTATTTAAAGAAGCAAACTATAAATGCAGGTTATGTGACTATACAGTAATAGGCACCTTAAAAAAAAAGTAATAACTTTACAGATTTCAAGCATACAAAGGAAAATTTTGAAACCCATTTTAAAAACAAACAAAAAGCCTAAATTAGCTGATCTTTAGGCTGGATTTTGAAAGCAGCTTGAAAGCTATGTAAGTTCAGCGAGTCACTTGGAAAATCAGAGCCTTAGAATTCTATGCATGCAGGCAGCAGACCACAGCCTGAGTACCATGCAATTTGCACCTCTGTTTTAGGCTTCAGGCTCTCGTCCTCCTATGTTAGGCCTTGGCAGACAACTTGGCTATTTGGGCAGAATTACCTAGTGGTCCCACTTTTCCTCCACAGTTCTTCCATACCTATTCCCTGGGCAGCAGTATCAAATGGCAGGGCAAAGTTCAGTGCAGCCTCCCCTTGGCAGGGTAACAAACCCTGCTGGCCAAGCTCTACAGAGGTCCATGTGGAATTGCCGGAGAGAAGGTCTTTCTAGGAGACTTAGCAAAAAAAGCTAATTCTCTGTAAGGAGTCTTACTAAAAGACAGTTCTAGCTGCAGTTTCTTTCCAAAGAATAAAAATGATCAGTCTGTGTGTTCTAATGTACTGGCTATCTTCAGACTACTGTGTTTTATTTTCAAATTACTTGAAAATTTATTTTCAAATTACTTGTTACATTTTCTACACATTTAGAGAAGCAATTTGTAAAAAAAATTACTCAACTACTTTAAATCAAAATTTATATGTGGTCTGTGGTCAACCAGACATGAAAGCCCTTCATATGAGAACAGGTCAGTTTAAGCTATATTTGCAGCTTTATTATTAAAAAAAAAACCAAACACACACAACTAAACTTCCTGCTAACTTATCAGTGAAACAAAACTCATATTAATAAACTTCTTGTTTTCAATTCCTTTTGTTTGCAGTATTGGAAATTATTTGCTTCCCACTGGCAAGCAATACTGCTAATTTGAGCTTTGGTGTTTTTCCTCTGTCCCATGTGTGTGTGCCATGTGGTGGGCAGTGCAGCAAGGGTGGGCTGGTTACACCTGGCACTCTGGCACTGGGAAAATTTAACCTTTGCTTTGTCTGGATGGGTCCTTGCAAGGCACTTCCTTGATGAGCTGCACAGTGACCCTCTGACAGAAATTTTACTACGGGTTATGTGCTGTATTTAGAAACCTACATCAGCACCCAAGGCCTTGTTGTTCAGGTCACTGAATGGAGAGGAGGTATCTGGTGTTCATACCTGCATTGCTATGCCCTGTTCATGCCCTGTCCCATTCCAACACTTCCTGGGACTTGCTCAGTTCATCTCTCTGCTCCCCATCAAAACCTTTATTCCAGCTGACAGCTGGATGCTGGAGAGGAAAGAACACAAGTCAGATATGGATGTTTCTACAGGGTGTTCTATGGTGCTTTATCTTTGAAAACCAGGTTAGATGGGGCTCTGAGCAACCTGGTCTAGTAGAAAGTGTCCCTGGCAGGGGCTTGGAAGGAGGTGATCTATAAAGTCCTTTCCAACACAAAACAATTCAATGGTTCTATGATCTTGTCTCATGAAATTGTGAGCTTGAGAGAAATTTATGTCATATTTCATGTTACAAATCTGTGTCATTAGATGACTATAAAATTGCTGCTACGGAGAAAAAGCTCCAACCATGTATAACATCCAACCTTAAGTCAAAGGATAGTTTTTCTCACTTTAGTAGAAAATACTCATAGAAAAGAAGTAATGCAAATGTTATGAAAGGGGCACTGTGCTGTGGGTGATAAAGCATTTAGCAGAAACCTTGTTTACTCTGGAACTTTAATTGCTTCTACTGAATGCCAGGATTTTTGTTGGACACATAAATTAATTTTAGAAAGTTTAAAAGCATATTGTGTTTTTAAAGAGGATGCTGTAATTTTTTTACTATGTATTGGTTTCCATCAGAATTCCTAGAGGACTTTGTTGGTCTATAATTAGATCTGATTGCCTATGAACTTGATAAGTCTCCTGTAATGCTGCTGTGATAACTTTGGTCTTAGATTATGTAAGACCATTTTATGCATGTATGTTAACATGTATGCATGTTCACCAAGTCAGAGCATCATACTAAGGTTAGAAAAGAATGGAAAATCTCCCAGAAAGGAGAGCAAAACTCACAATTGCTCTCATCCAGTTGACCTGAATTGTTTGGAAGAAAGAGAACTGTTTACTTTCATAGTAAAACCAGACTAGACTAGATGCACCCTAAGATGGGTATCTGAAACTGGTGGAAGAGTTCCAGTTGCACAACAAAATATAGCTGCAATGTGCTATTTTTGCTTGGCACAATGTGGGTTTTTCTGTCATAGAAAAGAGCACAAGGCCATAAAATGAACATAGGCCACATTCAAAATATTAGCATTGGATTTTCCACTTTTCCAGAAGAATTCAGCTGAAAGTTACCAAATTTACAAAAAGCAAGACACTACTCTTTAATTAGATCAGTGCTGAAGACTTCTAGACAAGTTCACATGAGCTGGAAAAACAGTCTGATACAATTTTTTCTTGAAACTTCAACTTTTGTAGGAGAAAGTTTTAATTTTTTTTCACAGTTAAACACATAAGTGCAATGATGGTGAATTTAAAAAATCAACTGTTTTAAAGCTTTGGAACAGTTGAGTGGCACTGCCAACTCTACAGTTTTGTGGATGTGGAATGCTGATTTTCATATGGCAAGGCAAAAGAACTTGTCATGTGAATGAAGCAAAAAAAAAGCCCAAACCTGAAAACTTTCATTCTGTGTCACCCCAGAAAAGATTTTCTTTAGAAGATCTCCTTCAACCTGCCTTCAAAAGCAGGCAGAGAAGAGGCTTTAATGATTAAAGGAATGGAGCCCCTCTCCTGCAAGGAAAGCAAGTCCCTTCCACCTCAAACCTTCTGTGTTTTTCTGTTTCTTCATGAACTGCTTTTTCATGTCATTTTCCAACATCTTTCATGTCTGGATTCTGAACAAAAGTCTAAATAAACAGTTCATATGTCTTGTAAAGATCCATATATATATGTGCAGTTTCAGGATGGTCTATAAAAGGATCTCAGTGTCTACTTGCTGAATTCTGTAGGACATTTCTCAATGTTATAGTGAGTTACTCAACAAAATACAAGGAAAAATCAGACCTTGTTGAAAATCAGCAGACCACCAGTATAACTTACAGCTGTAGCTTTTGTACTAGCTTTGTGAGCAAGATAGAGGTGCTGCACATGCATGTTTTGCCAGCACAGGAAAATGAGGGTGAATGACACTGAAGCCTGAAGTAAACAGGATTAAAAGCAGAAACTGTGGCCATTAAATGTAACCTACTTTGGCAGAGATGCTTTTGCTTGTCTAGCAGGTATGCTTTTATTTATATTAATTTATGGACAGGCAAGATACAGCAAACTCAGGCTGTTCTAAGAGGAAAATAAAGTATGGTTGTTTACTTCTGACTGAAAAAAACCCAAAACATACTGCAAATTGGACTTTATTAAGGACTTCTTAAATTAGCCACCTTGGTAAACTAGCAATCCCTTAACATAAAGATGTTATACAGACTTCATGGAATGCCATTGGGCATTCTGTAGTGCAGTATCTGCAGCTGCCTGGCCACAGACTGTTAAAAAAGTCCTTCCATGTGGAATGGAGATTTGTATCTCTCCTTTTCCCATGTTATTGCAGGAGAAAGGATTTGCTAAATAAGCCTGTTTCACATGCTACTGACCAGAAACTGCTCATGGATGCTGTAGATAATGTCTCTGGAGCCTTTCTTAGTAGTTTCCAAATTACAGAGGAGCAAACCAAGTTCTCCAGTTGTGGCTGCCCGATCTCTGGAAGTGTTCAAGGCCAGGCTGGACAGAGCTTGGAGCAACCTGGCCTGGTAGAAGGTGTCCCTGCCCATAGCAGAGGGGCTAGAACTTGATGTTCTTGAAGGTCCTTTCCAATCCAAACTACTGCATGACATGATCCAATTATATTCTATCTAGCCATTTGAAAACACTGTAACATTAATGTTTTAAAGAAATAACGCACTAATAATTTAAAATATTCTTGATATAGTGCTTACTACCATCAGACAATTTGAAAATAATTTTATGAATAGAAATTAGTAAACTGATTGTTTAATTCATTTTAAGTTTAATTTAAGTGCTAAATTATCAGTGTAAGAGAAAATGTCACTGAAGAGGAAATAATAATAGGAAGGGGTTTAAAAGTCAGCAACTGGTTCTAAGTGAGCCTTAGATACTAAGTTTCAGCATGACTTGATAATTTTTAGCTCTCTATATATATCTTTTGAGTGAGAAGCTGGAATATAGAAACTGAGCACTGTTTTAATTTTTAAACTGGTTTAAACCAGCTAGATTAGTGGAAATTAAATTGGAAGCAAATGCAAATGGTCTTTTCTGCTTTGTTTTGTCGTGTTTTTCTTTTGAAGTATCACTGTTTGGGGACTTTCCCCTTGGTACTGTTCAAAATTGTTTTATTGTGACACACTTGGTGGCTGATCTCTGATAGATAGCAGAGATGCTGCTTTGGCTCATCCACACATTCTTGGATTAGAGCACTGAGACTTCTATATTCAGTCTTGCTAAATTTATGCTTATTATTTGGGTGGCTATATGAATGGTGCTCTTGCTCATCCACACTGAAATGCAATTAAAAGCCCTTTTCTAGGGATTAGATTCATCAAATATTGGGCTGCCCATTCCCTGGGTTCCCAAAATCTCCAAGATCAGGGAGAATGAAACAATGTGCTGTGAAACAATCCTGCTGCAGCAGTTTTAAATTTAGACTATGGAATATGAGTGTTAAAATTTCAGTGAGGAATCACATACCAGCTACAAGTACTTGCAAGCTCCATACATTGCTTACATCTGTGCTTTGGGTTATGTCTGAAGCCAGCTCACCCTGTCTCCTGAACAAAAATGTTTTTCATCTTTGTCTCTGAACATGTTTAGTAAAATTTAAATTTTCAGTTTAGATTTAAAAAAAGGATTACAAGATCATAAATAGGAAAAGTCTGCCTACTTGGGCTTTTCTTTTCCTAATAATGTCATTAAGGGAATATTATACTACACACAAGAGTCAAGGTAGGACAGCAAGAAATGCAAAGCAATCTACTAATATTGCAGAAGGCAATTGGGTGTTATTTAAATGGGCAGTAAATTAACTATTTTAAGTGTTTCCTTTTACTTCAAACAGGTGGCTCAAGCATGCTATTTGGAGTTCATTTACAGTCAATAGATTCATGGCTAATGACTTAAAAATACTTCCTGAAAGTGTTATAACCAAAATGTGACAGTCAAACCTGAAGCCTGAATTAAGATGCATTCTTTTTTAAGGAGCAAAAAGCACCTACATTTAACCAAAATGTATTTTCAAGAATTTTGATGAAATTTACATAAGGAGTCCTAGGACAGCTTGGTTTTATTTGCCATATTTATTACATTCAGGATGCACTGAAAAAAAAGATGATGTAGCTGCAATGATGTCAGTTCCTGGCAGTGTAAAGATGTGTGTGATAGGTCTGATCAGTGCATCAGCTTTAGCAGTTCCACATCGCTCTAGCTGAAAAAGAGGGAGCCAAGGGAGAAATCCTTCTTTGAAAAATCTTCAGGGATATTTTGCAAAGCTGACAAGAAGAGTTCTGAAAATTCTCACAATGTTTGAAGATTTACACATATGTTTGAAGTTTTACACATATTCTTATGCAGGGAACTGGTTTGGGTTTTTTCCTTCCTTGAAAGGCCATCACTAGGAATAGTTGGCCATATACTGCAGTTAAGGGGAAAAATTCTTTAGGTATTCTCACAGAGATTCAGATAAATATTGTATCTTTCAAAATATGTGGGGTTTAAACTAATATTTCATTCTAAAAACTTCTTTTTCTTAAAGCCTCTGCCCCCTTGTCATGACTCTAAGGAATCTATGCAGGTGTATAAACAGCACTGCAAAATAGCAGAAGAGTACCACGAGGTCAAGAAAGAAATTGCTCTGCTGGAAGAAAGAAAGTGAGTAATTTTCCCAAAGGATTTACTGTCCTATATTCTCTCTTTGCAAAACCCTTTTTGAAACATGAAAGCTTAACACTGTATTTTCTGACCTTCTATACATATATGCTTGTATATGTATTTATACATATATTATAATTGTGGCCTTCCAGTATCTGAAGGAAGCCTAGGAGAAAGATGGAGAGAGACTATTTATAAGGGCCTGGAGTGACAGGACAAGGAGAATGGCTTCAAACTGAAAGAGAGGGCAGGCATAGGTGGGATATTGGGATGAAATTCTTCCTTCTGAAGGTGGTGAGGCCCTGGCACAGGTTGCCCAGAGAAGCTGTGGCTGTGCCATCCCTGGAAATGTTCAAAGCCAGGGTGGACAGGGCTTGGCTTGGAGCAACCTGGCCTAGTGGAAGGTGTCCCCTGCCTGTGGCACAGGGTTAGAACCGGGTTTTCTTGGGGGTCCTTTCTAACCCAAGCCATCCTATGATCCCATGATTTCATGCCTCTTCCTGATGGTCACAAGTTGGTCATTGCTCTACAGGATCAACTGAGGCCACTAAGGGCTGTCACAGTTCAGCTTTGTGGGTGTCCCTTAAAAGCTTCACTGGCAGCCTCCAGGCCGCATAACAATCCAGCTCATCTGGTGTAGGTTCCTTTTCAATTTTAGTTTTTTCAATAAGCATTGCACACTTTAATGAAGAACAAAATGGATCCTCATTTAGGCTTAGAATCCTTGACAATGTTAGTAAGCATGTTTCTGTGAGCTGCTTTGGTTTTGTGTACCCTGGTTCAATATACACTGGCATTTCAGGTGTTCATACCCAAAGTGAATAAGCTGGAGGATTTTTCTCTTGTCTATGGCCTGTACTCATAGCCCTGTCATCTTTTGCCTGACTATTAAATGGCAAAGTGCACTCTGGCTGTTGGTTCCTTTCCACAAGAAACCTGAAAAAGAAATTGAGAGAGAGGTAAGAAGGTGAATAGTGAAATCTCTGCCCAGCTGACCATGCAGCTCAGCCAAGTTTGCATCCATGGGAATCTTCAGCTGCAGAAGCAAGAGGGAAACTTGAAATCCTGCAGTCTTACAAGACAGCCAAAGAACTCTCTGAATCCAAACTATGCAGGGTAAGAAAGTGAGATGTCTTTTTCTGGGTTGAGGGCTAGAGCCACAATATAGTTACTTTTTGCGTAAAGTGTCAAAGCTAGTTGAAGTTTCCCTGCAAATCCCCTTCCACTGGAAGATCAGTGGGGCACTCAGATGCTGACAGATTGGAACAAAAGCTAAAAAAGATGATGTCCAATATCATGGGAAAATGCATTTTGCATTTGAATCATATTTGCAGCATTTGCATTTGATTCACCATTAATTGTACTTGGCCAATCAAAAGTAATTAGTATTTTTAAAAAGATTAGAAGATAAGTAATTTATTTTAAATTTGCAATGATTTTTCAAATATGGTTGTCTGATATAAGCTGCTTACATATTTAGCAATCAATTCAGTGGAAACCATGTGTCCATCTACTCTGAAAATCCAAGCACAATATAAAATATTAAATGATTGTTTAAGTGCTTGACTTTAGTTGTATAAACACCAAACGTAGGCTTCAATCATTTTGGTTTTAGAGTCTACTAATATAAATCCATTTTTATTATTATTGGCATAACCCTGAATCAGTTATGCCTATTTATGAAGAATGCTTGGAACCCATGTAAATGAGACATTCACATATTTTTTTGCACTTTCTGGAATTAAAAAATTGCTGTTTGAATGCAATTTTTTAAACTATAAATCTGTGGTACTAGCTAAATTAGAAATGCTTCTTGAGAATGGCAGGTACATGCACAAAGTTATTTACCTGAACTCACAATTATCTTAATCAACCTCTGAGCCCAGAGGTCAGCCTCTCAGAGGTGCTTATCTTGGATGAATTAAAGGGCTTCAGGCTGGCACTTTCCTTCATTCCACCAGTGGATGTCAACAGTGGAACAATGTCAGGAAGCTTCCACCACTGCTGTCTGTGCTGAACCTGTTCTGGGAATTCCATGCCCCAGTAAACAGATGTCATGAGTGGCTGTATAAGGCAACAAATGGAATTATATTATTGAGACCCATATGTACTTTCTTATTACATATTTGTAGCCTTTTGTTCACATGCTGTATAGCTGTGAAATGCCTAAACAATAACAAATATCAGGGCAGCACCTTTCACACTTCCCATGTGTCTTAATCTGAAAAAGTGATCCTACAGCATTGGGATCAAGGATGTTTAATTTCCTCACAAGCTGCTGCACTGTGATTGCCTGATTTTGAGGTTTAACAAGCTGCAAATGCAAATTGAGGATATTTTTTCTCCAGATGTGGATTATTTATGATTCTTTCCTCCAAGTAGATTGTCCATTTTGTAATATTTTGGAGTGGGTCTCATGCCTTCCCCCATTGCATATCTTTCCTTTCTGGAGCAGTCTGTTTTTATTAAACCCTCCAGAAACTAACTGGGACCTCTTTACCACATGGTTTGCTTGAAATTGAAAGGTGGATTAAAAAGTTATTAGCATACATGTAACTTTACACACATGTAAGCGAACAAACCTGAACAGGACAGCCTTGATTTTTATCTAAAACTAGACAGAAAGGGAGTATAAGTGTGGGGGCAAAGGAATAAGCAAGAAGTAAAAGGGAGTTTTGCTGTCATGTTCACTGATTTATGTCTAAAAACATGCTCAGCACTTACAGTAAGAGAGTTAAAAGCAGTTTAGGGACTAGCATATACTGAATGAAGATTAGATTATAATGGCTGGGGTGGCATGCATATTTTGCATTGTGTGTGTACATATAAGTATATATATATAAAAATATATGTATGTATATAAATGTGTATATTTTTATATATGTATACACTTATATGTGCACCTTATAATTGTGGCCTTTCGCTACCTGAAAGGAGCCTGCAAGAAAGATGGAGAGAGGCTATTTACAAGGGCATGTAGAGATAGGACATGGCAGTATGGTTTAAACTGATAGACAGTAGGTTTGGATTGGATATAAAGGAGAAATTCTTCCCTGTGAGGATGTTGGGGCCCTGGAAATGGTTGCCCAGACAGCCCTGGCTGCCACATCACTGGAAGTATTGAGTATTCCATTTTAAAAAGGGAAGAATGCTTTCACTTGTCTAAAAAGTCTGATGAGATGCACAAGTTTTTAGCCTCAAAACCAATTAAAATCAAACTGAAAACATAGAGTTGCGATTTTCTAAAATTTGCTCCTGCTGTGGATTTCTTCTTCTACATTTGAGTTTGAATGTATGGAAATGAAGATTCCAAATTGTGTACTACACCTACTATCTATTGTCTATTTCTCTTAAATACTACTTTGATAAAATGGACAGTGATCAAGCTGCATCCCTTGTAAGGGGAACAAACAGCTTTTATAGTGTTTTTCAGTGTACACTTTTACCAAAGGCAATCACAAATGCTGTTGGATGGTATCCCTGCCAGTGCTCCCAACTCCTCTCCACAGATCATTCCAATAAGTCTCACCTGGCAGTTTCTGTACCTGTGGTGCCTGTGACAGTACATACAGGATGCTGAAGGCTATGACTGACAGAAAAAAGCAGAAAAGGGATTGAGCAAATATTTTTTATTTGTTGGCTAGGAGGAAGAAATAACGTTAACCTGACAAATATCTGTACAGGTATTAGAGCTTTTTAGCAAAAAAAAAAAAAAAAAAAAGAATAGAGTCAATTCTACTTCAAATAATTTTTGCTCCAACCTCCAAAGTTCAGTGTAACCTTTCATACATGAAATAATATATACAGGTATATTTTTATATTATTTTATAAGACATAGAAAGTTGTAAAACATTGTTTTAACAACAGTGGAAAACATTGAATCTTTTACAACTTTTCAAAGGCTTTTACTTCTGCTTAGCTTGATATGTAATGTGAGCATCAAGTACAGCCAAAGTAAAAAGTCAGTGAAGCAAAATAACAAGGGCTGCTTTTCATCAAGGTGAGAACAAACTTGCTTGTTCTCTTTTGTGCAATATAGATGGCAAGAGAGAATGTACTGGGATGGCAGTGGGAGAGGAGATGACAAGTATTTCACAGGAAAATGGGAAATGTGAGAGAGAAAAAGAGGTTGTAGTATCAAAAAAGGGAAAATCAAAGGACAAAGCAAATAAAGATGGGAAAAGAAGTTACTCAGGAATAAAAAAAGGAAGCAAGAATTTGAAAGAACATTGGGTAGATTTTTTTGCTAATTTAATCATAGCTTCGTTTGCTGTCTTCACTCACACTCTTCACATTTATGCCAGCAATACGTGGTACAAGGGAAAAAACCACTCTGGAATGGGAGACATGATTGAAAATAAAGAAAAGGGTGTGGAAGCAAAAACACACCACATTTAGGGCACAGAATGTAATTTAATTTATGTTCCAGAAACACACACGTATTTCCATAACAGATGGTTTTGGGTATCTAACTTTGGGTGAAAGGGATGAGATGGCTGGTTATTTTGAGCACTTGTTATATTGCTATTACTAGATAATGACCCTGGATTATGTAGTTAAATATTAGAGTTGCCATGGTTGCTGGCTGTATCTTATATTCTTAGCACTGCATGGTTATCTCTTTTTCCTCCCCCAGACAATTCTAATATAACTCTACAGAAAAGATCATTTGATCACCACCTGGTTTAGGATCATCGTTCTCTTGGCCATGGATATGATTTCTTTTCCTTCTTTTGCACATTAGAGTAGACAGAGAATCATGGAATTGTTAAGATGGGAAAAGACCTTTAGGATTATCAAGTCCAACCACCAGCCCAGCACCACCTCCCTGTTCACCATTAAACTGTGTCTTCCACTGCCACCTCCACTTGTTTTTTTAACTACTCCAGGGATGGTGACTCAACCACTTCCCTGGGCAGCCCATTCCAGTACTTTACAAACCTTTCCATTAAAAAGTTTTTCCTGATAGCTAATCTGAATCTCCCCTAGCACAACTTTAG